AAAATATACTGTAAATTTTATTTTATTTTTATTTTATTATAATTATTACAAGAAATAAAATATTATTTTATAATTCGACATATGCCGAATTTTTGCCGAGTAGTATTATGCCCAATTTTTACCAAATAATATTATGCCGAATGTTGTATCCGAATGTTTGACAAGTGGCAGCATGCCGAATGGCACTATTTTGACTAGTGACACTAAAATTCATTAGGAATAAAAGTTTTGAAGATATGATTGATTATAGTTTTGGTTAAGATTATAGCTATACCATTGCTAGCAGAGTTATTGGAAAGGCTTGTAATAATGGTGGCATTATTTAGTGATTTGGGAGTGGGTTTGATTTTATGATTTTTGCTTCAGAACAATAAAAAATATATCTCTTGCTTTTTAGAAGTTTGATAAGTTCAAATAGTTTTGCTCTGTTATTGAGGCCCCTAACATTAAGCATAGAGATTATAATAAGGTTTTTCAAGAGTGATAATGGTGTAAAAAAGGGGTTATTAAGAGAAGGTAGTATGGATGTTAAGGATAAAGAAGAAATATTATTAGTTGAATTTTGTGTAAGAGATTAACTTGAGTTAATCGGTATTGAACTCATGGTTAGATAAGTTTGGATAAGAAAATCAGATCTGGGTCAGGCAATTCTGGTTCAATGATGAATTCTTCTGGAAGTTTTTGAAATGAAACAATTTCTTAAGGAGTTTAATTTTGTTTATAAGGGTCCCATTCTCAACTATGGGAAGGGACAATATGATATCCTCAGATTTGAGTATCTCTTGGGTGCTGGCAAGATTAAGAAGATTCAGCAATAATAAAGAAATCCACTCTCTCGGAATTTCCTTTATATAGTTGTCCTTGATTAGCTTGATTGTTATATTGAAATCTGGATGATCTCTATTAAGTTTGTTGCTTGTGATTCCTAACCCTTCTTTAACCAAAGAAAGTTTATCCAGAATGTTAGATTTTTCTAATTGTATCAAACCTTCCTTGATCCACTCAGGATCTAAGGAAAGTTTGAAGAAGAATTTTTTTTTGAGCTGCTTAATAAATTCTTTAACCTCATCCTGATTAATGATAAACAGGATATTTCCGTTATTTTTGTTGTACCAGTATATTGGTGACAAAGATCTCTTGGCTTTTATATAATCATTAGGTAATCTTTTGAGTACATAATTCTCATCTCTGAGGATTTGGATGGTTTCCAAGATTCTTTCTAAGTTATTGTTTACTGGAAAGTAGTAAGCAATATATTCAGATAGATCGGTATATGATGGTGGAAGGGTTCGCTTGGGTGGTGATAATCTAAAACATAACTTCGGTAACTTACTAGAAATATAATAATAGTTTCTTAATTTACTGACAAGTTCTCTCAAGTTGTTTAAGTCAGCCCTATTTGTAAGGGGAAAGATGTCTTTTACTTCATTTTTGAAATGGGCAGGATTTTCTGAAAGGTTTGGCCTTTGTACTAAGAAAGAGGAGGGGGGTAAGTCAAAATTGTAATATGCTCTGAGACATTCTGTTACTTCTTTGATGAACTTTGAAAAGGTGATAGAAATGGTTCTTGATAATTTTATTTTGATTGTTGCTGGAATTTCTTTAGGTGTTTTGGGAAGGTTTGATAATCTTATTTTAATTAACTCGTCATATTTGTTGTAGATTCCTTGATAATCTATTTTTGGAAGCAAGAAATCAAAAAAAAAATTGAATCCATATTTCAAGAGTTAAGTAACCTGCCAGTACTTGAGTTTTGTGAGGTCATATAATCTTAAGTAAGCTGTGAAGAGTGCTTTGTTGATAATGACCCTGATTTTTTTTCTAGTTATTCTTGTGATATAACCAATATTATTTACCTTTAAGTAGTTGTTTCTAAACTCATTTTCAATTTTTCATATTCCAATTGATATTGACCTTTAATTAACTTATTTTTGGTAAAGGTCCTGAAGAAATCCTTATCTCTATATTTGATTTTGTAAAAAATAATCTTTAATAATGATCTGGGAGGTCTTTTGGAATTATTTCAGATTTTGATAAAAAGATTAAGAATAGTCTCTGAGGTCCTGGAGCACTTGGTTATTTCATCATAGTAGGCAAGGATTTTGGTTTGTTTATCCTCTAAATTAATGTTGTAAATGTCTTTATCAGAATATTCATTGGTTATGGCTGATAATGTGGTCTCAATCTCATCAACCCAAGATATAAGATTAGTTTTGTTTGATAAATGTGGCTCAGTTTGCATAGGAAAATCATTGATTTCCATTTTAGAAGTATTTTGTATATTGATAAGTTTGGTGTTACTTTTATGTAGGAGGGCAGGGATGCATACATTTGTTGTTTCAAATTCATGTGAGTTTTGTGTTTGACTATTGTCAAGAGGTGATATAGGCTCAGGAATAGATGCAAGAATCATTAGGGGGAGGAAGAATTTGTAATATTGTTGTTATTTGTATTGTCTTCATCGATCATTTCCTCTATTGATGCTGGTATGTTTGGAGGGGGCAAGAGTGTTTTGGTTTTTCTTTCTAAAGTAAAAGTTTGAGTTTCTTCACAGGTAGAGATATTAAGTTTGTCCCAAGAGACATGTAAGCCATAGTTAAGGCCAAGTTTAATGATTTCTCTTATTACTTCAGTTCTGTTATTATCTGTGATTTGAAAAATGTACTGGAAGTCGAGGAAGGAATTGAGGTCTTTTAAAGATATTGGTTTAGGTATTGAGATATTGACAAGTATTTGAATTGCTGAAATTCTTGTCCTTTGATAATCTTCAAATAAAACATTGATGATTTTGATACTTTCTACTTCACTTTATATAGAGCAAACAGGTGTTAATCAAACTTTTGGACAGTTTCCTAACTTTGGAAGGTGAGTTGATTAAGCAGATAAAGTGACAGTAATTTTGTTGGTTTTTGTGTTTTTGTAAATGATTATGGCTTGTGGGTTTTGAATATTGGTTATAAGGACATTAAGAAGTATGTATTTATAATTTGTTGGTTGACCCTTGAGGAGGAAGAGTCCTTTATAAAATCCTAATTTTATTAACTTTGAAATTAAAAAAATATATAATAAATTGTATTATGTTTTTAGTTATTTACAGTATCTTGAAAAATTAATTTAAACAATATATTATTATATAAATTTACAAGTTTGCTTATCTACTTAAATTAATTATTTAATTAAAAACTTTAATTTATTATAAATTATATATTTCTTAAAAAAAAATTTTAAAAAAAAAACTTAAAATCTTATTTAAACTTATTCAATTTCTCAAATATTTTTTTCAATAAAATAATTTTTTTTATAAACTCTTTATATTAGACAAATCAAATTTAATTTAAATTATATATATATTATAATTTTAAATATTTAAAATTTTTTAAAACAAACTATTTCTTTTGAAAAACTTTAACAACTTATTTGTTAATATAAAATTATAAAAAAAAATATGAATTTAACAACTTACTAATTATAAAAAATATTTTTATAAAGAATTTAAATTTTATTTAAAACTTTTTAACTTATTTTTTTAAAAAAAAAAAATTCTTATTTTATATATTATATTGTTTTAAAATATATTTATATTTTTTTATTTAATTTACAAAATAAATTTACAACTATTAGAAATTAGCTATTCTCTTATACAAATATATTGTATTAAATTTTTTAAACAATTTTTTTATTAGAAAACACTTTCATATATACTTAATAAAGTTAATAATATAAATAAATATTTTTTTTTATCTTTAACTTTATATAAAAAAAATTGTTTTTTTTAAATTTACAAAAAATAAATTCAAAAATTAATATATTATATATACTGTATATACAGAAGGTGTCCATATTATTATAAACATTTTTATTATACAATAAAAAAATTTTTTAATAAAAAAAATTAAAATTATTATAACAAAATTAAATTTATATATTGTAAAGCATATTATATTTAAATTTTAAGTAATTATAATAATTCACTTAAAATCTATAATAAAAAACTTTAAAGGTATAAATTATTATCAAACTAAAAATCAAGAAACTATTATTTATTTATTTATTTCTTTCTTTCTTTTTATTTTTTATTTAATAAAAATATAAATGAAAAGTGTTAATTTGTATTATTATTTTTCTTAATTTTTTTAAATAAAAAAAATCATATTTTTATCTTTTTTTAGCTAAAAAAACAAGAATCAAATTTAATAAGCAGTGAAAAAGATTTGATTATTGTATAAAAAAGAGTCATTATTTATGGTTACCTTAGAGAAGATTTATATCATGTTATCACTGCTAATGTTGGCTGTAAGAAGTCTTCTATAGGAAATATTATAGGTAAGTATTATACATGTGGTGGAATTGAATTCAGACATTTTTCAAAAACCGTATTATGGTCGAATTACTAAGTAACATATAGTAA